GTTTTTTTTCTTTTTTCTTTTTTTTCAATCATTAGACAGGAGGGAATGGAACTTGGTATATTTCTTTGAACCCTTGAGAAGAGAAGCTTTGCACTAAACTAATAGCTAGTTAATCTAAGACTATATGAAGGATTTAAGATGAGAAAGTCAAGTGCAAGATACTTGTTGGAAGTACACCAGAGAGTTCTCCATGAGAATGTACCTAAACAAAATACACATTTATTTGACAAAAATCACAAAATTTAAAATACCTGTAACACCAAAATCGGATATGAGGATATCCCACCAGAGTAATCAATTGTGGGGATTAGTGTCAGGAAATCGGGAGTAGGTGCAAAATCACCAAAATCATCAATGGCAGAGCTGCTCTCCGCTACAACAAAGACCACTCCCTCCGCATTGCAATCAATCTCCACACGGCCGTTCTGGCCGTTGAGCTTGAAGCGACCGGCCATGGGGTAGAAGGGCACAAGGGCCTTGCCGAGGGCCTGCTTGAGCACTCCCTTGTCAAAAAAGTTGTGCTTACCACTAGATCTGTAAAAGTAAACACTGGACGTGTGAAAGGGTGGGAACGCTAGGTCTGAATTGGAGAGCCACAGGGAGCCCCGAGGCGTGGACTCTTCGGCTGGCCTCACCATTGTTGACTCCCTTATGCTCACCATCACCTTCTCCGCCATCTTTTCTTTGGATTTTAGAAAGGAACACACTGTTCTTTTCCTTATGAGCAAAGAAGAAAAGAAAATTACAGCCTCTTTCTTGTGATCACAAGTTCACAACTTACAACGCAAATACACGACTACAACAAGAACCTATCATCCCTCACAAGCTGAGATTAATGATGTTGACAGTGTAAATCTTAGAAAGAATTAATCATAGCTAGAGAGACCCCAAACGATAGAATGCTTTACACTTGATAACACCCGCCATATTTATATGTGGTACTTTGCCAAAGGACGTTGCTAATGGCAGCGGTAGATCGACATGTAGAGAATATTAGTTGGAAATTTCGAGGCTCCACATGACTCCGGAGTTAATATTTTTTGGCAAGCCCGTTTTCTGCATGGATTCGACTGATAGGCATAATATATTTTAAAGCAATTTCGTGGCTCCACATGACTCCGGAGTTAATATTTTTTGGCAAGCCCGTTTTCTGCGTGGATTCGACTGATAGGCATAATTTATTTTAAAGCAATTTCGTGGCTCCACATGGCTCCGGAGTTAATATTTTTTGGCAAGCCCGTTTTCTGCATGGCTTCGACTGATAGGCATAATATATATTTAAGCAATTTCTTGGCGTTCATCTTTGTCCTTCTTGGTCCTTTCGCTCTTTCTATTTCACTAACATTGGGAGCTTTAATCCTATCTTAACTTTGACCATTATCCCCACCCCGCCATCCCTCACAAGCTGAGATTAATTAGTGTTTTTTTTCATATTGAAACATTAAGGGATCTAGCCTGGATTTATAAGAAGTTGGACCACTCTCCCAATTGCTAATTGCTTTTTGGGTGAAACCTCAACTTCCTTCATGGAATCGGAGTAAGGCTATTCATGTTTTGGGCCCCTCTGACGGAGCCATAAACTCTACAATTACAATAACCTTAGTTTTTATCGGTAAATATACTTAAGAATTCATTATAATGATTAACTTTCAATATTACGAATTTGATATCTCGAGTAAATATAACCCTGATTCTATCAAGGTAAAAATATTGAAAGGGTAAACAAATATCAAAAGTTGATCTTAGACAGAATGACATAATGACAAAATCAAATGAAATCCATGGCACATACATGTAAATGACATATGAAGACATGAAAATGTATAGTCGATGATGACAGGCTCGTTTGGGAGTGATTTTAGATAGGCAAAATCATTTTTGGAGAGAAACATCTCCCAAGTGCTTCTCCATATAATCATTTTTAGTGATTTTGAAGCATGTGCTTCTCCATAAAATCACTTAAAATTACTTAAAGTAATTATATGAAAAAGTGATTATTGGCTTATCCAAAATCACTCCCAAACAAGTCCTTAAAAAATAACTTTGAGTGAGTCAAGGAATGACGTGTCATGGACCTTCGAAAAATCATATTCATGTTTTCATGTTATTTGTACCAAATATTGTAGATAATATTACATTTGATAGAGTCACCATGGGTAAGTATAACTATAAAACAACTTAAACATAACATATATAAATATAGATTTTCAAAATGCTGAGAATGGTCAAGTGACCCCTGTGGGGACATTTTTGGTGTGTGTTTTTTTTTCAATTTTTTTTTCGGTTTGGGTTATGCTGTCTTGGTTATTTTGTTGTTTTCTTGTTTGTTTTGGTGTGGCTCTGGTTTTGTTTTCTCCCTCCCTGCTTTTGGGTTGGTCTGTGTGTCTTTTGAATGAAGTTTTATTCAACCAAAAAGGTGATCATGAAAGCGTGGGGTGAGAAGGACCTCAACTGGGTTGGCCATCATGTTGGTTATTCCAAGCGTTTCACCCATGTACCTGATGGAGTTGCAGTTGATAAGAGGTCTTGAACAGGTGAATTTCCATATGCCGAAGGATGTCAGAGGTTTTGGACAGGTGATTTCCATCTGCTTCTTTTTTAAGTCGATAATTAAAATCAGGGCATTGTTACTCAATGATACAGCACAGTCACCAATTCTACCTCAACCTTGAGAGCCAAACTCCTACTCATATAAATTATACACATTGCGTTATAGTCTTCAAAGACAAAAAGAAGTTGGGAAATAAGGTATAAAATTTCAAATTAAACAGAATGACAAAATTAAAGCAAACAATTAAAAAATTAAAAAATATCTACAAGGAATTACTCCTACATTCGCAATCATGTACATGGTTTGAACCTTGATAGTTAATACGTGGGAACAATATCAATGCATGATTTGAACATGTAAGAGGCTCCTACTCTCCAGTTAACACAACAATTGGTATCAGATAAATAAAATGGACATATCGATGAATGCTCAAACCTACTCTCGCGAAACAAACAGCCAATAATTATTTTAATACTACTGTTTAATAACAATGAGTGGAACTGCTGGCCTTCAAGTTTTATAATATCACTACAAACAACAAGGTATTTCATGGCGCCACATGACTCCACATGACTTTAGTTGGAAATTTCATGGCTCCACATGACTTTAGTTGGATAGAGAAATAATGTATTTTTTGGCAAGCCCGTTTTCTGCATGGAATTGACTGATAGGCATCATTTATTTTTAGGCAAAATCACTTGGGAGTCCATCTTTGCCCTTACATTGGGAGCTTAATCCTATCTTAATTTTAACCATTAAGCCGAGCTCCCTGCAGGGGATTATGAAACTCATTTTCCTTTCTATGATATTTACCCCACGGAGAATGCTAGCAACCTTCTCTCTAACCTTCTTTTTTGGACCTTCTCCCTTCTCCTTATGACATGTGTCACTTTATTTACACTTAAAATAATGTTATTAATGCATCACACAAGCTAGTTTTGTTTTCCAAATCTACCATTATTAAATACATTGATTTTTTAATATATATATATACATGAAGTTAGTCTTTTTAAACTTTGTTACCACCTTTTTTACTCTAAACATCAGTTTTTTTTTTTTTTCCTGAAAAAAAGATGTTGCTAATATTAATTTGACAGAATTACTCGCACCACACGGTAGAGTGGCTCTGATATCAAATTGTCACATCCCAGGATCGGCTCCGTCGTAGCACGATATTGTCCGTTTTGGGCCCCCCTCTTTGCCCTCATAGTTTTGTTTCTGGAAATTTACGAGCAACTTCCCAATGGGTCACCCATTATGGGATTGCTCTAGCTCCAACTCGCTTAACTTCGGAGTTCCCATGATTCTGAAGCCAATGAGCTCCCAAAAGGCCTCGTGCTATATGGAGGTGGGAATGTATATATAAGGCACATCACCCCCTCTCCGTTGGTCGATGTGGGATGTTACACACATGGCATAAGGAGAAGAGAGAAGGTCCAAAGGAGAAGGTTTCTAACATCTCCTTGTCCCATTGGCTTTTGGTTGAGAGAGGATTACAAGAAATTATTAAGTGTTACGGTGTATCTCTCTACTCAAATATCAACATGTTTTCTTTTTACGAAAAATAAAATAAAATTTAAACTTCTGTATAGATGAACCATTTCCATAAACACCCAAAAGCCCTCATGTAATTGCAAAAATATTTATTATTATTATTACTATAAAAATAATTTTTAAAAACACGTTAAAATTTTGCTAGCACTATCCACGTTAATTTTTTTATTTATTGAAAATTAAACTCCTTTCTAAAAATGTACTTGAGCCAATGCAGTCTAACCTAGTGGAAAAGGGTATTGACTTGTAAATTAGTGGTTTAAGGTTTGAAATTCCTAACACCTCAACCCCCCACCCCCAACAAAATATCACTTTGTAAAGTGTTGCAAACCACCACCTATGTCTGACTTCATTAAAAAATTTCATTAGCTTAAGAGTATTTCCGTCAATTCACTATAATAATATTTTTTTTTAAACAGAATTTTTATTTTTTTTTTAACAAAGCTAAATTTTTTTCCTAGAGACCCAATTGAATTCTTGTGTCAAATCCAGTGACAAAAAAATTATTTAAGCCATATTAAAAAAATTTAAAAAAAGAAAAGAAAGAAGAATGTGTGAACTATAATTTAGAAGCCAAAAAGTGATATTGAAAACCTTGAAGAGTGATAATGGAATCTAATCTCTTCCCCATCTCCCCCTGCAGAAATATCAAAACCCAATAACACCAACAAGAAAAAGGACATTCCTGAAAGAATTTAATATTGAATTGAATGAATATTTGTATTGCTTACCGACTTAGATCTTTATACACGGTTGATACTTCTATTCTAGGTAAATACATGCTAATTCTAAGCTAATTACAATCTATTCCTACAATCACTCAACACAGAATCATTGACATATTTCTCATTCAATATAGAATCATTGACATATTTCTTTCCTTTAACACTCCCCCTCAAGTTGGAGAGTGGATATCAATAACGCTCAACTTGCCAAGAAGCGAACTGAATACGGGTGCCTTTAGTGGCTTGGTAAATATATATGCTATATGTTCCCTTGTTTGCACGTATCCTGTCTTGATATCTCCTTTCTCTATTCTTTCACGAACAGTATGACAATCGAGCTCAATATGTTTAGTTCGTTCATGATACACTGGATTTGCAGCAATATACAAGGCGGCTTGATTATCGCAAAATAGCTTTGCAGCTTCAGAATGATTCACATGCAGATCTTGCAACAGATATCTTAGCCAAGTTAGTTCACATGTGGTTGCAGCCATTGAACGATATTCTGCTTTGGCTGATGATCGTGCAACTGTAACTTGTTTCTTGCTTTTCCAGGACATAGGCACATTACCAAGAAATATGCAATAACGTGTGACTGATCTGCATGTGATTGGGCATCTGGCCCAATCTGCATCACAATAACCAATCAGCTTTAACTGATTCTATGAAGGAAAAAGTAACCCTTGACCTGGAGCTTCCTTTAGGTAGTGGAGAAGACGGTATGTTGCATCAAGATGTTGACATCTAGGTTCTTGCATGAACTGATTTAGGGTGTTAACTACATAAATGATTTCTGGTCTTGTAATTATGAGATAAATCAGCTTTCCAACTAACCGACGATATCGAGTAGGATCTTTGAGTAACTCCCCTGTAGATAACAACACCAGATCATGGTCCATAGGAACTTTGGCTGGTTTGGCTCCAAGTAATCCAGCTTCTGCCAAAATGTCAAGGGTGTACTTCCGTTGGCAAATAGAAATTCCAGATTTTGATCGTGCCACCTCAACACCAAGAAAGTATCTCAAGAGTCCAAGATCTTTTATTCGAAATTGACTGCCAAGAAAGTGCTTCAGTTTACAGATGGCCTCTTCATCATTTCCTGTGATTATCATGTCATCTACATAAAGCAATATAATGGTTAGAAAGCTTCCATGAGCCTATGTGAACATAGAGTAATCAGCACGTGACTGCAGTGGAGGATCGGCTGATTTGCATTACATGTGAAGTAAGCGGGCTGTCATTTCGGCTAGTCACCTCCATTTGATGCTCATGTTGAAGGATCAGTCCATGGACTTTGCATGTATCTGGTAAAGGATTTATCATCAGAATTGATCCCCGAACGGTGGAGTATGAATCGTTCAAGTCCATTAGAAATTGCATCACTCTTTCTTTTTCCTCTCTCTCTGCAAGTTTCTTCAGCCCTTCACAGTCGCAAACAAGAGGCTCCTGGTAAGAACCCAACTCATGCCAAAGTGCTTTCAGTTTTGTATAATAGATGGAGATAGGCTTTGATGCTTGTCGACACTTGACAATTTCTTGTTGAATCTGATAGATCCTGGAATTGTTGCTTTGTGAAAGCAATCTTGGAGATCCGTCCATACAGCTGCCGCCGTTTTGGCATAGAGGACACTACTGGCTATGTTTGGATGGAGAGCATGAAGAATCCATGACAGAACCATATCATTGTAGCGCTGCCACTATGGGAATTTTGAGTCATTTGGTGAAGGGGCTTTGATTGATCCATCAATCAATCCAAGCTTGTGTTTGCCCGTTTGGCGTTCACTCCTGTGATGGAAGGGCAAAGTTCCTCACTGCCTTGAGAACCATAAACTGGTCGACAAGTCAGCTTTCTTTGGTGTGCGAGCGTGCCACTGCTAGCAATAAAAATTCTAGCAGACTTAGTTTGGAGTAGATAACTTGCGCCCCAAGTTACTGATTTCTGCAAACAAACGATTGTGAATTTGGGTGAGGAATATCTCCCAAGTAAGTTCTTTTCTTGCCTCAGACGGGTGAGGACTTTAACAATTTATCTCAGTATAAACAGGCTGCTCTGGCCAAAATGGTTGATGGAATTTAAACTGTTTCAGGCAGAACTGATGGAATTTAAACTGTTTTTAGGCAGAACTGATGGAATTTAAACTGTTTTTAGGCAGAACTGATGGAATTTAAACTGTTTTTAGGCAGAACTGATGGAATTTAAACTGTTTTTAGGCAGAACTGATGGAATTTAAACTGTTTTTAGGCAGAACTGATGGAATTTAAACTGTTTTTAGGCAGAACTGATGGAATTTAAACTGTTTTTAGGCAGAACTGATGGAATTTAAACTGTTTTTAGGCAGAACTGATGGAATTTAAACTGTTTTTAGGCAGAACTGATGGAATTTAAACTGTTTTTAGGCAGAACTGATGGAATTTAAACTGTTTTTAGGCAGAACTGATGGAATTTAAACTGTTTTTAGGCAGAACTGATGGAATTTAAACTGTTTCATCATTTTGAGTTTTTGTTTTTGGTTGATTTTCTGGTTTTTTGAGTGTCCTCTACCCTGTCCACTTCTCCTTGTATTTATAGAAAAACTGTTTCTTCTCTGGAGTAGGGTGATTGTGTTTTTTTATTGGGCGGCAAAGATATTTTCCTCCCTTTTCCTCCTCTTCTTCAATTCTGGCTTATAGGCTTTCAGATAGGTGATCACTTCCCTGTTTTTCAGCTGCCCCTTCTGGACAGCTCCCTGCTTTCCTGCTTATCCCTCTCTGAGATTGTAACCTGCGTATCTATCTTGGGAGATTTACCTTCTCTGTAAAGACATGAAAAATCTCTGTATATACATATATAAGGGGGACTTAATCTTCAGTTCTTCTTGATGTCACAAACCCTTCAGTCACTTCTTCTATGGCAGTTGTTATTGCTGACTTTTTTTCATTTCAGAGGCTGCCTTTGCTGACTTTTCATCCCTGCTGACTTCCGCCATTGCTGACTTTTATCCCAGAGGCTGCCATGTGGGATTGTTCCCTCTTCTGGTCTGGACTCCCTCTTCCTATTATGTTGGGCCTGTGAGGCCCAACTCAGCTTTGTTTGTTCTGATGGGCCTTGGGCTGGATGTGTCAATTTTTGGCCCAAACAGCTTGTTCTTGGCACTGAGGCTAAGATGCATAGATTGACTCCATTGGCCATAGTTATGGCCTTCAAGTTTGAAGTTAACCAAGGAGAGTCCTGGTGTGTCTGAGTTGTGAAATCGAGCGGGCCGTGGACGGTGGTCTTCAGCTCTGCAAGAGTTGTTTAACCCATGATGCTTGGTCGATGGTGGCTGTGGCGGAAGGTGTTAGGGCAGAGTCACCAAGAGTGGTGCTCTGATACCATGAAATCATTTAATATTGTATTGAATGAATATCTGTATTGCTTACAGACTCAGATCTTTATACATGGTTGATACTTCTATTCTAGGTAAATACATGCTATTTCTAAGCTAATTACAATCTATTCCTACAATCACTCAATACAGAATCATTGACATATTTCTCACTCAATATAGAATCATTGACATATTTCTTTCCTTTTACAATTGCCTTCTTGCCCCTTCCTCTCAAAAAAAATTTAGAACAATATTACACACAAATTTATCAAAATATCATATAATAAATTAAAAGAAGAAAATGTGTTAAAGTTTTTTCTTTATGCTGAAATGTTGATTGTGCAAGTAATTTGAAGTAATTTTCTGTCTAAAGTGTTGATTGTGAATTGGAACTTCTTGATTCTGAGTTTTTTAGTGAATCTTTATAGTATTTTTTTGGTTCTTTGTTATTAGTTTGGTTTTGCTTCTGTTAGTTTTAATTTTCTAATTTTTGATCTTTTCTGGTTTTGATTTTCTAAATGCTTTACAAAAATGCTAAATTCGAAGAGTTCCTTTGCTAGTCTTGAAGTTTATTGTCGCTCTTTATCTTACCATATGAGAAAATGCATGATAAATCCTTTTGTAATTGACGTGAGTTTTATCGTGGCTAGTGGCATTGATGATGATTCCTTCAAGATCCGAGTCAGGAGATGCTGGTGACCCATATGCTGTTTTTGGTCGTTCATAATCCCGACAGCCCTTATTTGCTGCATGTGCTCTCTCTCTCTCTCTCTCTCTCTCTCTCTCTCTCTCTCTCTCTCTCTCTCTTATATGTGAGCATTTGCTGCATGTGTGGGTGGGCCATGACAATGAGTCTGCTCCTCGCACTCAAATTCGAATCTCTTTTATCGTAAATTACAATTTAGAGTAATTTAATCTATCACTTGTATAAATAAATAATAACTACATGATAGCGTTTGACCAAAATGAACAAACTTGATTAGTTTATAAAAACTTGCAGATCTTTGTTTTCAAGATTACATAAGCATGTATTATTAGATGCCAAAAGAAAAAAAGACATCATTTAGAGTCAAGAAAAGATAAACATGACCAAAATGCGACAAATCTAAAGGTACTAGCTTAGTTAAGCACAACAATTTCATATGGTCTTTGCATTATCCATTATGCAACAGAAATAATATCCCATGATTTCATAAAAACAGATTAAGTTCTTTAATAAACATCAAAATAACAAAAGATAGCTTGCTTCCCATCTCATCAGCTAGACTAGAAGAAAATGGAATGCCCGGAAATCCTTTTTCAGGCATGTCATGTCCTTATATGTCATACAACAACTTGGAAAATGATTTCATATGTTCAGATTGCAAAGAAATGGCCACTGATATACTCCCATCATTTGATACACTAGGTAAAACTACAGCCAACCCCTCATATCCAATTCCACCACTCATATCCAATTCCACCAGGTCCCATGAAAATAGGTCGACCCCAACCAAAGTCAGCATCATGGATCGGCAGCCTAGCCCAACTGGCTATCCCAAGTCTTGGGCACCTAAAAGTATGAGCCCCTCGAACAAGGCTCGACAAATCAGGCTCAAGTTTCAGATAGTCAAGTGCTGATCTAAGATAATCATTATCCATTCGCATCACAGCATCATGCACACACCTTGCAGCATACCATGTAGGTTTTGATTTGAGATTCCCTGATGCAGCGATTGGGGCCGCTGCAAAAACCACATTGCCAAAGAAACCAGGCGAGAGAGGCGGCTCCAGTCTGGACCTTCCGTCAAGGGCAACGTGTAGTTTGGTCTCTTGATCATCAGGAAGTTGGCGTGCATTTGATGCACATCGCCAAACATGACCTGCCAACATCTCAAATGTGCTAAATTCGATTGTGTTCCCATCTTCCTTAGACTTGGCCTTCAACATGTTGAGCTGCTCCCGCATCAATCTAAAAATGGAGACAGTTGTGCTTTCAACATTACTAGCGTTTGTGCTCCGCGGAGGGGTTTTTATGGGGGGATCAGGTTGGTATTCAATGTGATGGAATGCAGGTTGGGGCGGGTCTCGGGCACGAAGTAATGTCCTATCTATAAATGGTGGAATTGTAATGTCACACCCACGAGCGATATCAGACCATGTATTTACAAAGTGGAGACCAGAAACTCCATCTGCTACACGATGTTCCAGACCAACACCGACTGACACTCCACCACATTTGAAGAATGTGACCTGAGGCATATACAGAGTAAAATCCACAAGCATGCGTACATCAAGAGAAAGGCTTGGATTTTAGTGAAACTTTCAGTCCTGTAGTGCGTCACACCACTCAGGTTAATACTGAGTCTAGCTGCAATGAATAAATGGCAGTTAAGACAACTTGATGTTAAGAACGCTTTTTTACATGGCGAATTGGAAGAAGAAGTGTTTAAGAAATAGCCACAAGGGTTTGCAGATCCACGTTATCCTGATTTTGTATGTAAGCTTAAGAAATCATTGTATGGTTTAAAGCAAGCTCCAAAGGCTTGGAATGCCAAATTCACCGGATACTTACCAGCTATAGGTTTTCAAGCTTCACAGTCTGATCCTAGTCTTTTTATCAGATATTCAAACTCAGAGGTTGTGATTCTCTTACTCTACGTTGATGATATTATTCTCACAAGTTCTAATGAGAAGATGGTTCAGCTTGTGATTGATGAGTTAAGTTCTGTATTTGAAATGAAGGACTTGGGTAAGCTTAAATTCTTTCTTGGCTTGCAAGTATC